GCGACCAAGGAACCGAAATGGTGCACTTTGATGATGTGTCGTTGTACGGCACTCCGAAAGAGGAGCCATATGCTGTGCTTTAATCTGCATTGGCTTCACTCTTTGGTGGATCATCGACGCAAAGAAGTCCGCGAAGCACTTGCGAGGAGTCGTCGCTGGAATTGGGTCGGTCGAGGACGACCTTACACTTGAGGGGGGGGGGTAGTTAACTTATAACACTTAGTTAGCTTATAACACTTAATGTAAGGTATTATTCAACACTTATTATCGGGTGCTAGACAAGTTAAGGAACAGCCCTGGCAAGGGCAACTCTACTTACGCCGGTGAGGCTATGATTTGTAAAAATATAGATCAGTCTCGTGTTTTAACTCGTACTGATAGGACATGCTAAAAATTGGTGTCATATAAGTAAAACTAAAAATAGTGAATATAATAAGAAAAACCAATAAAATTAACTGTTTCGATTATTCAAAAAAGAACAATTAAAAGCAGGGTTAAAAAGCGTTCTTCCAGTAAACCGCTTAAATAAATATTCACTCCGTCATTTGCTCGTTAAATGGCTTATTTCATTGTCTGAGCCCGAGGCCAGCAATAAGAGGCACAGTCGCCTCTCAACCTAACTTTCAGTCACCACAGGACTGGAAAACATATAATTTATACATGTGCTTTCATCAAACACTATATTGATTTCTTTAGCAGTAGATATCATTGCTAATGGCTCTTATAAGCAACTTTCCCCATGTTGCGTAGCATGATCACGATAACTTCGTCCTTTTTGGAGGCACTCTCCACCGAACTCTTTAAGTCCTGAGTTGATTCTCGTCCTCTCGTTAGGAATACTTAAATGTATCCAGCGGAAGCCGATGTTCATTGCTAGGTGAAAGATCCGCAGGTCATCATTCCTATGGTCACCTCCAGAAAATTTTGTTATCAGGGTCTACAAAGTTCTATTCGCCCTCTGTAAGATTTTCTTGTACGGTTTATGGCACTGGCAGTTGGGGCCGCCCACCAAACTCACACACACACAAACACACACACACACACACACACACACACACACACACACACACACACACACACACACACACACACACACACACACACACACACACCACACACACCACACACACACACACACACACACACACACACACACACAGACAGACAGACACACACAACACACACACAGACACACAGACACACAGACACACACACACAGACACACACACACACACACACACACACCACACACACACACACACACACACACACACACACACACACACACACACACACACACACACACACACACACACACACACACACACACACACACACACACACACACACACACACACACACACACACACACACACACACACACACACACACACACACACACACACACACACACACACACACACACACACAGACACACACACACACAGACAGACACACACACAGACAGACACACACACAGACAGAACACACACAGACACACACACACACAGACACACACACACAGACACACACACACACACAGACACACACACACACACAGACACACACACACACACAGACACACACACATACACAGACACACACGCACACAATTTTACTCACTTTTGAACTCCATACGTATTGATTCAATTTTATCCAAGACTACGGGCTCTAACTGGTGTAATCGACGCTCCTCGCCTCGGTGGGCGTCCTCTAAATAACATGTTTCAATCATAGATCGATTTATTATACCCGGTTCCACATCTGGGTAGATAATTTCCTCAAGGAGTGGAATATTGTGATCTTCTGAGTTTTGCATATTAAAATTATGCTTCTGTTAAACTTATATCTAGAAAATATAAATCCGAACAAACTGTAATTTATAAATTGAGTCGTTAATCTATGTATACGTAGATTAGAAATATTTTCATAAAATAATCCAACTTGTGCAATTGTTATCATTATCAACCCTTGAAATTCCTATTTGGCCCTTTTAAAACTCAGAAACATAGTTAATGTGTTTTTTTATAATCTATAATCAATATATAAGCGTTGAAATTTTTAAATGAAACTTTAATATTTAATATTACAACTACAAAAACGTGGCAGGCTCTGAGGGATTCACAATGTCCATATCTTTTATTCGGCCAGCTTATACATGTGCTTTCATCAAACACTATATTGATTTCTTTAGCAGTAGATATCATTGCTAATGGCTCTTATAAGCAACTTTCCCCATGTTGCGTAGCATGATCACGATAACTTCGTCCTTTTTGGAGGCACTCTCCACCGAACTCTTTAAGTCCTGAGTTGATTCTCGTCCTCTCGTTAGGAATACTTAAATGTATCCAGCGGAAGCCGATGTTCATTGCTAGGTGAAAGATCCGCAGGTCATCATTCCTATGGTCACCTCCAGAAAATTTTGTTATCAGGGTCTACAAAGTTCTATTCGCCCTCTGTAAGATTTTCTTGTACGGTTTATGGCACTGGCAGTTGGGGC